TGCTGTTGAATGTTCTTCATGTATTCAATCGAAGAAGGACATTTGCATGTGGGCAGTGGAATAATGGTGGAAATTCTTCCCATAATCCTTTTAGTTTTGTAAAATAACTTAAGACACTCGTACCTCCTTGAGTAATTGTGTTGATGAATCGATATAGACTATAGATTTTAGTTCTATCAGTTACATCAAATCACTCAAGAAGATCATTCCAGACATCTTGAGCATTTTTGGAGAAGGTTATACTAGCTGCTATTTCCTTAAAGACTGAAATGATTAACCAAGATAGCATGACAACATTGCACCGATCCCATTGGCCTTGAAGAAGCACATTCTGTGATTCTTTCTTGTAAGACCAATTGATAAGTCTGATCTTATTCTTTGCTCTAAGAGTCATTCTGATGGCATGACTACAAACGGTGTAATTAGTATGATCGATAAGCGGCTAAGGAACTAAGGTTGAGGCTTGGGTGTCTAAGGGATGAAGATAAAAGGGGTAGTTCATGTCGATGGTGGAAGCAAAGGATCGTGTGTAGTCAAAGTCTCCCATGATGAAACTTAAGAGAAAAGTCGAAGTAAGGATCGATGATTTTGGTAGAGATGAATGGTTATGCCAAATGCGATGATGGAGATGCAGAGTGACGATGCGGCAAAAAAGGGGACGAAGAATCAAGAATGGGGAGAAATTAGGTTCATGGTTACGAAGCGAAATTGGATTGGGTCGATAAACCGATCTTACTCTGGTACCATGTTGGAAAAAACAAAACTGAACTAAAACAATGCATTTTTGGAACTTTGCTCTCAAATTGAATGAATATTCATCATTTTTGGTCAATCAATTTCTAACAAAAAATCCAGTAGGCTTTAAATAGCCAAAATAAACAACCAAATGCAACTAGGCCAAAATAAAAACAAGACACTACAACATTACTAGTATCCAGACTGGTACGTAAGCCCTATTGGCACGCAGGCCCAAATAAAGAATACACACACATTATACACTTTAACTTTCAACATGTGTCTATAGATAGAGGTTATTTTTACAAAAGAATTTTTCCTATTGTTTCCATTTCATTTCCCTCCCTTTACTATAGTTTTATTATTCATTGCATCTATGTTATTCTACATTTTCTATTTTTAATAACGTAACATATATTTTTTGGCCAATACATTTTTGTTATTTGTTGTATGAGAAAACAAAATGAATATGCGTACACCAAACAATAAAAATTAGTAACTGAGGTAAAAAAATAGTATAACTAGTAATTATGTTCTAAATAAAACCATATTTGGGTAAAAATTTAAAATATTATAATTTCAAACTGTAGGGAATAAAATATCAAAATATTATAAATCACTCTCAACATTTCATCAAAATTAAAAGAAAATCTTAAATATCATTATTTTTGTTAAAAAATTTAATAAACTTATAATTTTACCCTATTAAACACACACACACACACACACACACACACACACATATTCTAAATTATTAAAATATATATTTTAAAAATAATATAATATTTAATAAATTTTCCAACATTTAATATAAATAAATGAATAAAAATAAAAAAATTATGAAAATTAAATACACACACTCTAACTTATCAATATATATTTTTTAAAAATAAAATAATCTAATATTTAATAGCATTTAATAGAAATAAATGAATAAAAATAAACAAAAATTATAAAATATATAATTAATAGAACCAAAATAAATTGTATTGTATAGGACCAGTCTGACTGTCTGAGTATATGGTTTGTCTTGGGTTAGGGTCATAAAATCAGAACCATCTATATTTTAATTTAGATAATTCAAATGCAACATAGCACCTCTACATGACACATGTCACATGATAGGCTCCTCTTTTAAACTTTTCATACCCAACAGCACAGTTTGGTTGGAAGGTAGGTTGGTAGCACCCGGTGGCCCGATGTGAAAGAATAACCCAAAATGAGTTAATTTTTATATCTTATTTAGAAACTAGTCCAATATTAAAAATATTAAATGATAAATTTATTTTTCACATAAACCCGTTCATTGATGATAATTTTATGTAATATTTTTACAAATTTACTATAATATTATTACGATTTATTTATTCATTTTAATTTTAATTGGGGATACAAATGTTCCTTTTCAATATAGTTTTCCTAAACAAAAGAGTGATAACATTTTATTTTTAATATATTTAAAAATTTTAATAATTATTAATTGGGGAAATGACATTAAAGCATCAAAAGATTGAATTAAATTTAAATAGAGACTAAAATATTTGAAAATTCAAGATAAAGACAAAAAAAATCCTTTAGTAAATTGGTTTAAAAATTTAGTACTTACGTTCCATGATTTGCTGACAACAAGAATTCAGTCACTGACAAATGAAATTCACTAATTTATAAAGAAAAAAATTATGAAATATGTCAAAATTTCCCACTATTTGCTACTCATATATCCTTTGTTGCAAAAAAAAAAAAAACGTTGATTCGTAAATGAAAATGATTTTTCAAGTAATGTTGCATTTAATAAATTTTTTTACAAATTAAAAAATATTACATATAAATTTTTATTTTGAGGATTGCAAATTATGGAATGAAAGTAACAAAAATTTTAATCAATTCATTGAAAAATATTTAATCTTTATTTTAGATTTCCAAGTATTTTAATTTTTATTTAAGTTTAATTCAACCTTTTGATTGTTTAACCTCATTCTCCCTAGAAATTTTTTTAGAAATATTAATTTTAATATTTGGTGCCTGCATCCCCATCTTTCATTTTCAAGAGAATGAGTGAACAGTTGTTAATCGCCAATTTCTTTATGCTCACCAATACAATATAACCACACTTCAACACGTGGCATGTATCCGTGTGTATGCCACTATGGCTACGTTTTTGCCTGCTTTACTAATTTTTCCTCATTAGTCCTTTTCATATTGTAAATATTTTTCATTTCTCATATTCCAAATTCATCAATTCGTTATTGGAAAATATTAAACTATTAGATTAGATCAAATTATTGATTAATCGATTATTCATGTATATTAGACTATATTAGACTTATTTTCTATTATATAATTTTTGTGGTGCACACTTTAGACGTTGATTGAATTAAAAGCTGGTGATAAAACAATTACCTGATAGTGTCTTACATGGAATCCTCTGTCTAGTAAAAAGTAAAATGTGTTGATACATGAATTAAATAATTCAGACGGAATGTTAATAAAATTTCAAAAGAAGGAATTTATAATAATTAGATCCCTTATGAATTTTTTTAAAAAGTAAGTTATAAATATTGATTCACACAATTACAAACAAGAATCCCAACCAAAAACTGTGAGCTATATTAAAAATTTAAATATTTCATTTGTAATTAAAATTCTTAATTTTTTTAATTATTTAAATGAATATTGACAAGTTATTATTTTAAAAAAAAATTATCGGACACATAACTATAATCGATTCTCTTTTTTAAAAAATTTACTGTCACTATTAAAGGGCTAAAATCGCAAAAATTTGGACAAGTTTATGTGTCACATAAAATTAAATTAGGTCTTGCCGACTTTTGATACTTCTTTTGTTAAAAAATATAAGGCATTTTTAATCAAATCTCACCTCTTAATAAAGTAATTACCTACTTTTAAACTAACTCTATCTTTCCATATTTATCATTATTAAACACTCTATAATAAATATAAAGTGATTATCAATAGGAGCACTTTTAAAATTGATAAATTAAAGTCGTATGAACTTTTAATTGAGAATATATGAACTTTATATTGTGCATAGTGAACATTGTGTTGTGTATTGTTTGCTTACTTGTGTATTTTGTCAAACTTAGCCTACTGATAAAGTAGAATCTTATGGACTTTTAATTGAGAACAAATGAACTTTATATTGTGCATAATAAATATTGTATCATGCATTATTTGCCTAACTTCAATATTTTGTTAAGCCTGATATAATGATAAATTAGAATCACATGAATTTTCAGGTGAAAATATATCACAAACTTTTTTTTTCTTACAACTGTCTTTAACTAGCCGTCCTCCCAGGAGGCTACGAATAAGGAGGATAAAGTCTTTTAAGATAAGAAGATTTATCATTGTTCAAAATATGGGAGGGCTGGACACAGTCGTAAGACATGCATGAATCCTAACGCAGCATGAGAAGTGGTTACATTGAATTTTTTTAGTGTACACAAGCAACTATAATTATGTATATAAAAGCATTTTCAAATAATAATTTTTGGGTAAGTGGGAATCACAAATATTTTTTGTTTGTATATGTAGAAGTAACTATTAGATATTTTGAATATAGTAGCTAACTTTTTGTATATATCAGACTTAAAATATTGTGTCAAACTTTATGTGGATACTTGTTTTAGTACCTAGGCTAATACCAGCATGAGATTATTCATATATGATGTAATTATTCTTCTTAATATTGAAAATACATAGACTTTCTGTTGAGCATGTGTGGACATCATTTTGTGCACAATGAATGTTGTGTCGTGCGTGGTTTGCCTAACATCATTTTTTATAGTCTAAGCTAGTGAAATATTGAAAATGTATGATTTTTTTATTCAGCACACGTGAACATCGTATTATACATAGTGGATATTGTGTCGTGCATGGTCTACCTAGTCATTTTTGCTAAAACCAAAGCTAGTAAAATACTTGAAATACATGAAAACTTTTTATTGAAATGCGTGGACATTGTCTTGTGTATAGTAAATGTTATATCGTACATAATCTATTTTGTTGTTTTAAGAGTTTATGCAAGTTCTAAATTCAAATCAAATAAAGAACAAAATTATATTTTTAATCTTAAAAAAATTGACAATAAGAACCCTAAGGCCTGAAAAGTAATATCAGATTCATTTAAACTTAAATTATAATTTTTAAAGCATTTAATGCCATTTTCTTTTTTTTTTTTTGTTTTTTAGGGTTCGGGAACAAAGGAAAAGGAAGGAGAATTAAAAAAAAAAAAAAAACGGAAAAAGCTAAACGGAGTAACTCTCTGGTCGGATCTTCTCGACATCCTCCAGTGGGCAACAACATTGCTTTGGAAGCTTTGGACTCTGAAGTCAGAACTCTGAGCTTCACTGGTTCGTCGAAAAGTGACCTATTATCTATCATCGTCTGCATCAGAAAATATATAATTTCCTCTCGTTCCGAAAAGATTTCAGCTGCAGTGTTAATTTCAAGAAATTATGGCTGGATGTTGCAGCTTCACTGCTTCGCGTGACCGGTGCTACCGCTACTCCTTCTCCAACGCCGGCCTCAAATCGGCCACGGCCGATCTCGGCGACGGTACTATCATGCATTGCTGGGTCCCTGGAACGCACAAGGAGTCCAAGCCTACTCTGCTTCTCATCCACGGAATCGGAGCCAACGCAATGTGGCAATGGAACGACTTCATTTCTCCACTAATCCGTCGCTTCAATGTTTATGTCCCAGACTTAGTTTTCTTCGGCGACTCCTGCACGACCCGACCCGATAGGTCTGAATCGTTCCAAGCTAGGTGCGTGATGAGCCTCATGGAGGCTTACGGTGTGAGGAAACTGAACGTGGTCGGCGTAAGTTACGGTGGCTTTGTGGCCTATAGCATGGCGGCACAATTTCCAGAAAAGGTGGAAAAGGTGGTGCTTTGTTGTGCTGGAGTGACCTTGGAAGAGAAAGATATGGATGAAGGGATGTTTCAGGTAAAAAGTGTGGAAGAGGCTGTGAGTATTTTGCTGCCACAGACTCCGGAGAATATGAAGAAACTGATTCAGCTGACGTTTGTGAAACCTATGAAAGTTCTGCCTTCTTGCTTTCTAAATGATTACATTGATGTAAGTGATGCTGATTCCACTCATTAAGCCTGATTGTCCCCTCTATGGTTGCTTTGCTATACTTGTATTTCTTATTTTTGGTCCTTTGATGAGGGTTGCTTCAATTGTGTCATAGACTGGTTCCAATTGTTCGAGACTTTGGATAATTATTACATCCAAGATGAACTACAAAGGAGGAGGATAGCCTATAGGACTTCGTGTTACTTCATAGATTGATCTGGTTGGAATATGATCAATTTTGATTTGCCCCCAACATTATATATTTACTTTCTTCTGTTTAAGTGAAATAACATGTAGTGGCAATTTGGCGCCTGGCAGATTAGTGAGTCCGTGAAGCTTTGATTCTTATATTATTTTGAAGAAACCCTCGGTACTTATGGTCTTGATTCATATGGTTGCCGAGAAATAGAAGCATTAACACGCTAAAAACTACCACATATATTTTCCCTTCTCTCTTCGTAACAGCACTCTTCTATAATGCTCTACAGTAATGTTTTGAGACGCTCTTGGTGATGTTAGGTTTCACCAGATAGTGTGGAAAATTTTATCTGGTTTTATAGCATGTAATAGCAGGACGACAAGTCGTCTAGAGGGATCTTTTATGGAGTACTCTAAAGTAGATATTGAAAATGTCAAGTTGTCTGTTGTGATGCCAGGAATGACATTGTTCTTTCATTTAAAAAAAAAAAAAAACATAAATGGAGGAATCATGGAAGATGAAGACATGAGGAATGATGAAGAAATGGAGCTTATCTCTGCCGTGCCATATAATTGTTATCGGACAAAACCCTGTCTTGCATGTCCTTAATCACCTGATTATTTAGGAAATGCTTGGTTAATAGTCACTAGTTGCATTATCTGATTAGTTTTTCGACATTTATATGCTTTTCTGTTTTTCCCATTTTCTTTTTAAACTGAAGAATGAATGTAATCTGTGATTGCTTGTATATAGTGTATCCAGTCATGTAAAGATTACAATCATGACATTGTTTTACGACCAAGACTTGTCTGCTGGCAGGTGATGTGCACAGAAAACCGCCAAGAGAGAAAAGAACTAATCTATGCATTGCACAAGGGCAGAAAACTATCTGATCTTCCTAAGATTACTCAGGTTCCGTTTTGGCTCCTGGCTTTATCTGAATTGCTTCCTCCGCATTTTTTAAGTCTTGCTCTTGCCCTGTATCATCTTAAAAGACATTTAACTTTCTGCTTCTGCAGCCTGCATATATTATCTGGGGAGAAAAGGACTTGGTATTCCCAATTGAATTAGCACACAGACTGAAACGGTAATTTGAAGCCATCTGAGTATTCCCTATTAATCACAATATCTTGTATAGACTAATTTTTCTTGAATTCAGGCTCACGATTATGTGGAAGTTATTAGTTTTCACACAAACAAACCAGTTCCTTCTTGGTTACCCTGATGTTGTAGGAATTAGGAAGAATACCAAATGAAATAATCTTCATCCACCTATCTACATAACATCGGAAATTGCCTTTTGTATTTCCACTCACCTTTCTGCTTAATAAACGGATTACATTGTTCTTTTTTCTACATATTCTTGCTTCTTCTTGGTTATCCACAAATAAGGCTGCTTGTTGTTGCTGTGTAGGCATCTAGGAGATAATGCACAACTATTTGTCATTAAGAACGCAGGACATGCTCTCAATATAGAGAAGCCCAAGGAGCTGTATAAGTATTTAAAATCCATTCTAATCGAGTCCTCGGTTCCAACAAAGCAAGAAAACCACATTAATGGTCACACGGAGTACTAGAAATAGAAAGTTCAGAGATCAGAAATGCGGAGACGGGCATTGTAGATGTGATTGTTTATCTATTTCTTTACACCGATGATGAGCCATGAGGGTATTTGTTTTGGGGAAAGCTTGAATTGTAACCATTCTTAAGGAAACAGGTAACCAATCATATTTTAGAATGTAAATTGAGATATGTATGTGTGAGATATGTAACATGTTACGTCTACATATTTTAGCTTCAATTGTTGAGTAGAAGTGTGTACGTGTGATATATGTAACTGGTTTGTTTTCCAGTTGAAACTTATCTATTTATTTGCATAAGTACCTGCATCATCAATATATACGAGTATGGGAGAATGGCATATAGGTTTCAGAAGATAAATTTAATAACAGGTAGGTCCCAAAAAGTTTTGTTTGACTATGAGTTGTAAATATTAGTTTAAAGGGATGATGTAATTTTTAGTCTATCAAATTTGTCTCGTATATTAATTTAACCTGTCAAGTTTAGTTTTTATTGATTCAATTCTGTACGTTTACTTTAATTATCAGTTTGATCTTTATTGTTTAAAACAAGGTTACATTGTTAAAATCTGTTGAATGGATAATAGAATATTGATTGTAGCCATATACATTAGTGAAAAAAGGATAATTCTTTAGGTAGGAAAAAACAGAATTTGAAATTTTAAAAAACAAGAGAACAAAATACAGTAAAATGAATTATATTAATAAAAATTAAATTAATTTGAAGTTTAATTTGTTCTCAAAAAAATACTCAAATAGATTGAATGTATCATATTATTGTAGTCTGTCTAATTAAAATGTTACAAGTAATTTAAATAAAATTTTGTATGACATTTTTTTAATTGATTTTATTCTTATAACAAAATACAAATTTAACTTCTTGCTCTTTCTACCATCATTAATATTAAATTCAATTTATATTTAACATAACTTAAATGTTATGTCTTTATTGAATAGATTACAACTGACGCAATGCATCGGTCTACCTAAGAATTTCTCTTTATTTTCATTTAGCTACATATACATGCTAAGTCATCATCATGTTTAATAACTAGATTATTTTAAAAATTAATTTGTAGTTTGAAACTTAAAGAACTCATATAATAGTTCAAGAAAACATAAGAGATGAAATTAATAAAAATTAAACTTGAGAGATCAAATTGATAAATTAGGCAAACTTAAGGGATTAAAAATTTTATTATCTCTAGTTTAAACAGTTGCAATTGCAAATATAAGAATTTTAATTACAAATTAATAAAAATGGCTTATAAAAAATTAAATCAGTATTTATAATTATCCGAAAAAATTTAGTTGTCATTGAATACTTTTTGATATTTGCATCCACAATCTCAATTATATGGAAAAGGAAGAAGGCAAGAGGAGGAAAGGAAACAAAGGAAAGGATGCAGGAAGACTGGTGATGGATTGCGGACAGAGGTAGAGAGAGGTAAGGTTGGAGGTAGAGAGAAGTTAGAGAACACATGGTCTAGAAAAAGAGACAAGGGATTAAGAAAGGATGAGTGTGAAGATGAGAGAGAGAATGAGCCTAGTCCATTTTAAATTTTGAAATTTAAACAAAACAAAATAAAATGAAAAAGAATAAGTTTTTATTTTAAAATTTTGAAACTTGAAGGAATTGAAAGAATAGAGGGAAATAAAAAAAAATGAATCAACTTTTTCTTTATTCATTAAAGTGACAATAGATTTCTTAGATATATTGATAAGCGTGTAACTTATTTTTAGTTTGGTTTTTGATCGATTAGGTTTAAAGATGAATTAAGTTTGAGTTTTTTTTTAAATATTTTTCACAATCAAAATGTATGCACGCATTTTAACTAATAATTTTTAACTATTAATTAGTTTTAATGAAAAAAAAATTCTTGAAAATAAAACATATTTTTAACAATTATTTAGTACATTTAACTATTAAAAACTGATATGTTACTTTTAAAACACTTGATTATAAAATTTAAAAATAATCATAAATAATTATAGATAATATTTAACTAATTGCAACATATTTTGACTAATGACTTACCCATAATTAAATTTTAAAAAAATTAAAACAAACTTATAAAAAAGGTAAAGGGGCAAAAATACTCACAAAATAGTCAACGATGGATTCCCAATATTCTAAAGTGACGAAAAGAACAAAAATATCCATAATATTATATGGATAGGTGCAAAAGTAATTAAACCATTAATTTTGACTTAATATTGTTAACTTTGACCGTTAAATGTTAACTGTGCATGCCACGTGTCAGTCTTTGCTGACGTGGACTAAAAAAAGGGCAAAAATACTCATAAAGTCATCAGTCAGGAACAAAAATACCCATAACATTATCAGAATTGGTTCAAAAGTGACCAATACATTTAATCCCTTAAATGTTGACTGTCTAATTGACACTTAAGCAGAAGTTAATTATTTTTTGCTGATGTAGATAAAAAATATTCCAAAATAAATTTTTATGAATGTTGTTTGATCATTATATGATACCTATAATGTTACTTTAATAGGTGCAATATTGACTAATTTATTAAAATCAATGCCATATAATTTCTTTCCATCACCACGTATCTCGCCCCTTTCTTTTCTCCCTATCCACTCATTTTTTTTGTTTGTAAAACTTGAGATTTAATATAGTGAGATAGGTTGTTCAAAATCAAAGATCAAGACTGAGCACATCTAACTTAAGAACATTGTTACAACCTTAAGCAATTGCATTCACCATATATTTGAAATTTTCAAATGATTTTCGCCACTATTGTAAAAAAAACAAGTAATTTAATTTGATATTTAGTTAAAATGATATTTTCTCATATGATATTCATATAATAACCGATTAACTTGTAAAAAATTTTATTTAGGAATATTTTTTGTCTACATTAGTGAAAAAAATAGTTAATTTTTGTTTAGGTGTCAATTAAATGGTCAACATTTAAGGAATTAGATGTATTGGTCACTTTTGCACCAATTCTGGTAATGTTATGGGTATTTTTGCTCTTGGCCGATAACTTTGTTGGTATTTTTATCCCCTTTTTTAGTCCACGTCAGTAAAGATTGACATGTGGCATGTACAGTCAGTATTTAACGATCAAAATTAATATTATTAAGTCAAAATTAATAGTTTGGTTACTTTTATGCCCATCCATATAACGTTATAGGTATTTTTGCCCCTTTTTTAGTCCACGTCAATAAAGATTGACACGTGGCATGCACAGTCAGTATTTAACGGTTAAAATTAACAGTGTTAAGTTAAAGTTAATGGTTTGATTACTTTTACACCCATACATATAATGTTATATATTTTTGCCCTTTTCATCACTTTAAGATACTGGGTGCCTGTCATTAACTATTTTGTGAATATTTTTACCCTTTTACCCTTATAAAAATATATAAAATAGTTATGAAGTCTTGATTCAGTTTGGTTCAAATTTTTAAGAGATAAAAATTTGAATCAAACCAAACCTATCGATTTCTTTTAACAAAAAACCTAAACTAAATCTCATTTATAATTGGTTTCAATTGATTTATGTTGATTCGGTTGGATGTAACTGGCTTTGAAGTTTAACTAGATGAGTTAATTTCCTAGAAAGGGAAGGATGCAGATGCGCTCCCTTGGCAAGGTCAAAACATAACTAATAATCAAAATGGAAGTAAATTGGCATATGAAAGAAAGGAGTGGATTAATTGTTCTAGTTAGTTCCCCCAATTTTTTTTTTAATGTGGACTCTTCATTCCTTTTAATTCAATTTTTTTTTAAAAAAAAGAAGACGATAAGCAATCAGGTCTCCGACATTTTCTAATGCAAAGTAATAGTCGAACTTGAATCGGGCATAGGCTTATATGACTATGGAGCAAATTTGTCTTGCCAAATTTCTCGCGAGGATAAAAGTGTCTTAAAAAATAATTCTATAGAATTACTATGGATTCCACGCTTATAGCTACAAAATTCAAGGGTGAACGGTGGATATATTTTAAGGGGATCAATGAATTTAAATTAAATTTCAACTAATTGTAAAATATTAAATTTTAAAAATTTACAAGTTTAACTATCAATTTTTTAATTTTATTGTAATAAATTTACAATTATTTTAAAAATTTTAATCAAAAAAATAAATTTATTTATTTTTCAATCATGTTAACAGGAAAAATAATTTATTTTTTAAATTTTAACAGACTTGATCAGAATGCTAATGCCAAATTCATTTTCCAAGCATTAGTTTACACTTTTCTTTTGAGAAAAAAAAAAGAATCATTTTCTAGAGTAGCTTACCTCCAAATTTCAATAATCAAGTCAAAAGAGTTTAGAAGTTCAAACTTGAAACAGGCAAAGACCAAATAACAAACAAGGAAGAAACACAGTAGCGATCAGATTTTTTTTTTTTTTTTTTTTTAAGAATCACTAACTGGAGAGGCATGTTTGCAATGTCCAAGCCTACATTACAGAGATTAACCACGTGCATATTTATCTTTATTCTCTTCTTTTTCTCTTTGGCTTCATTTTTTACAGATAAAAAAGGCATTACGGGGTTCCCCCTCCACAGTCTCAGTAATGACCTGCCAATTGCTAATTAAATTCAGACAAACACCCCCTTGAGCGTCATTACTAGGCAACAAACAACCCCTGCCAAAATCCAACTCCAAACACCACCTGCAAATGCAAATTTATTCCCATTATCATCAAAAATATAATCGTCTTTTAAAAAATAGCACATAGATAGACATATTCAATATAAATATAATTTGTCATAATTTAAAAGATAATGAAACTTTTAATTCTTCAAATATCAATTATCAATTTGGTTCATTAAGTTTAACTTAATTATCAATTTTGTTATTATTGTTTAAAAAGAAATAACATTGTTAAATTTTACTAATATAAATAATAAAATATTGATCATAGCCATATAGATTAACAAATAAAAGTATAATTATTTAAATAAAGAAAAAAACTAACAAATTTTAAAAAGTAAAAAAAAAACAAAATGTAAAGTAAAATTTTACAGATTGGAGTAAAATTTAAAAGACTATTTCACCATAAAAATTAAAAGACTAACATGATAATTAAAAAAAAATAACGAATAAAATAATAAAGATCGAATTATACCTAAGATAAGACTTAAAGTTTTATTATAAATCCCTAATCCCACATAAAAAAGATTAAAAAAAACGATTCCATTAGTGGTTAAACCACGTTCAAGCATCCGATTCTCATCCTATAGCACTTTCCATATGCGAGAATCAGGAAAGGTAAAGAAGATTGAAAAACACACCATAGCAAGGAAGACAGAGAAAAACTTACGGGTCGAAAAAGGAGCAGAATCGGAGCCCCAAATGAAATCCGGATTCTGACTTCGATTCGAGCAATCTAAGCTGGTGTTGAACCCGCCTTTACAAACACACACAAACGAATTACCGGGTAAACCATACCCGCAAATCCCCCCACTCATCTCGCAACTGTTACACTTGCTACTCACAACGCTGTTATCCAAATTCCCATACGAATACTTCACGGCAACACCGTACTCCCACCGGGTCGGGTCAGTCGGGTTATCCCCCAGTGACATCACCGAAGAATAAGCCTGGCACTTAAGTGACCTCAAGTTCAACTCTCCTTTATCGTCAAGGTTCGCCGGCGAGTACACACAACAAGTATTGGTCGGACCGAAGAGAGGAAGACCAAGGGACACGACGGAAGGACAAGAGTACAACGCAGCACAAAGGTGGTCGTACGAGAGGTCGCAGATGGGCGTGGATTTGACGGTGAGGGAAGACGTGGGTGGTTCGCAGGATAGGAGGATGAAGGTGGAAGAACCGATCTGGAACGGTGTGGTCCAGTCAAGGCCGAAATTGGTGGGTGAGGTTTGCATGAAGGTGCATGTGGACATGCACGGTGGTGCGATGGTTAAGGTGGAGGTGGTGTAGGATATGGAGGTGATAGGGTACGAGCCGGATTGAGTAGTGAGGTAGAGCTGGTCGCCGCCGGTGGTGTTGGGTGCGCATGTTATGTACGGATGGAACAGAGGAGAGCCGCAGCCAGGGCCGGTGCCGAATGGGTACTTTACCGGCGTGGACCCGCAAGTGTCACGGCAGGAGACGGCGCCACCGGTGGCTATCGTTGGCGATGATAAGAAAAGGAGGAAGAGTTTGATGAGGGGGATCGAAGAAGGAGGTGTCATTTGGCGGTGTGTTTTATTGGAGACTTGGTGGGGTTTTTGGTTTTAATAATGTTTTTAATTAGCTACTACTCTCTTATATGGGAGGCATCTACGGACACTTGACGCTTCTTTAGTAAATAATAATATAACCTCAAGGCTAAAGGGGTGACATTCTAAATAGACATGGAGGAAAAGAAATTGAAAAAACAAGTGAGAAAATTAAAATTGGCGAATAAAGATTTTTATGTAGTTGATCAGAATTGAGGTTGTAACTAAGAAAGACTTCCAAGTTAATAAAGACGTCAAATGGAAGAGAAAAGAGAAGGTTAGGGTGGGAGAAGCTCACAAATATAATCTGACTTGCAAGTTACTTGGAACCACCAAAATTATAGAGTACAACAATAGGTTGGATCTAGCAGAAGGATGGGATTAGTTATCTACAATATCATAAATCAATGCTTGAATACTTATTAAAAGAAGTGTCTGCATTTATATCTAACCATGTTTCAAATAAAATTATCTTTTGAGAAATGTTGATCAAACATAGCAAGTCTATGTAATGGAACTAAACTAAGAATCACAAGCCTTGGTAAGTTAATTATCAAAGCAAACATCTGAACAAAAGGTTCTAATTCATGGAACGAACATAAATCCATCAAAAAGTAGATTGTCATTTTAAATAAAAAGAAGACAATTTTTTATTAGTCTATTATTTGCCATGATGATAAACAAGAGTCAAGATCAATCATTAGATTTTGTGAGATTGTATTTGACAAAGCTAATTTTTACACATGGTCAACTTTATGTTGCTCTTTCTAAAGTTAAAGGAGTTGACAAACTAAAAGTACTCTTGAATGATGATAGTTACAACAAAGGAAATGCAACTGCAAATGTGGTATATTCTATTTCATAATTTGACATGAAGGTTTGTTGTTGTATGTTTCTTAACATGTACTATTTAGTAGTTATTATTTGACCGTGGCTAGTTCCTTACCTTAATTATTTTTTATCTTGCTTAAATTAAGAATTTGCTAAATTTGATAGCTCGCAATTCTAATTATTGTAGGAGTAGGTATTTTATCATAAGCTTACGTTACATTAATCAGTTTTTGTACTACTTCTCATGCATTGCATGGGGGAAGTAAACGTTAGTTACCTTTAATAGAAGGAAACGTGTTAGCAATAAAAAAACAAAATTACATAGCAATGAAGTTTTTTTTTTTATTCCTTCATTTAGTGTCTTGAGAAATTTGAAGGTATTACCACCTCCTACCTGAACTAATCCAAACCATCGTTATGTGGGATCATGATTATCAATTCTAGCCTCATAAATATCTCGAGAATACATTCGAGACATTTACTTAACACAAATGTATAGTTCAATACTCTAACTCAAGACCCAAGCTGAGCTAACTCAACTTTGACTAGTTGAACCAAGTGTTTAGAGTGAAGTTATGTTTTTTCTCTAAACCACAATATAATATATCAATACCTAATTAGCATTCTAAAAAAATGGAGAATTAATTTTTATAGGTGCTTATAATTTCCCTTGATTTTATTTTTTGAAAAGTTAGTTGTTCATTAATAATTTTAACATTTAAGGATTGATATATTTAATTGATCAAATTATAAAGGCTTGATTAAAATAAAATAAATTATAGGGACCGAATTTAAAATTGAGAAAAACTATAAAGACCTGGAGTTTTATTGTCCCAAAAAAATTAGGTAAAATCTTAATATGTAAAAAGTGCATATTTTTTCAATTATATCCTCTATATGTACTTTAATAATGATAATTGAAATTTCAATGTATATTTTTTCAAAAAACGTAATAAATAAGGTATAGATATAGTAAAAAAAATAATTATAAAACCCACTTAATGTTTTATATTTTGGACAAATTAGAGCTTCTAGAAGGCCCTATATAGTGAGTAAACTATATTATCCTATTTGTTGTAAGTTACTTCCTCTAATTCAAAATATAAGTAGTTGTTTTGAAAATATATATACCGATCAAGTCCTCATTCTCTTAAAAAGTATATATTGTTTTTTCTTTTTACCTTCAGCTCAAATTATCAATTTCCAAAAATGAGAGATACATTTATACTAAAATTTAAGTTTAATAAATACAACAGATAAAATGAAAGTTTTTTTTACATATATTTGGTTGTTTATATTTTGAACTAAGATTAACTAAAAAAAATTCTTATATTTTTTCCTGAAGGAAGCACTATCTATTGTTTCCTTATTCCTCAGGCAAAAAAAAAAAAAAAAAACAACATCATTTGCAAAATTTAATGAAATATTTGTAATAAATTTTAGGGTTAAGGTCTAATTTTGTTTATGTATCTATTTTTTAAAAAATGCTAGGTACCTTATACTCTTAAGTGGAGCAATTTTATCTTTGAATTATTTTTTTTCAAGGAGCAAAAAATCTTTTTGTTAATTAATTGTTAATTTTTTTATTTTTTGCAGACATGACATGTGTGTGGGACCCACACATAGTGACATGTAATACTTTGATCATGTCATTTAATATCAATTTTTTCCTGAACTCTTTTTTTAAGAGTGCTGAGCATCCTAACATTTTTTCTAAAAGCGCTGAACATCCTAAAATCTTGTTAAAATAAAATTTAACAAATATTATTAAAATATTAAGTATTTAATATTTAATAATTTAAATATCATTATTTAAAACATTACGCTACCTAATTTAATATTTTTTATTTTTTGCAATTTTATTTCAAAAATAAAAGTAATGAACCTCTAAATTAATGAAGAGATTTTTTTCTTTTTATTTCTCTATTTTTTCTTGTTGAGTAACTTTTTTTACAGCACATTAATATAATAAGTGATGTCTTTGAAATAAATATTTTTGTTGACATATTGTTGGTCATGATTTGTTATGTTTCTAATTTTACTCCTAATACTGTAATTTATAGAAAGTATTAAATTTAGGTAGTGTAATATTTTGGAGAAAGATTGTTGGTTGACCAATAAAATTATAAAAAATGACCTAAAAATTTAAGAAAATTAACCAATATTAAAAATATAAGTAAGTTTTGATAAGCACAAAAGGCATAACAGTTTGGGCATTATCTTAAAGAGAAGATTAAAAATTGATATATAAAAAATTAAAAAGTCATATATAAATTTATAAAATGCTAGTTTGAGTTATTAATATTTAAAAAGTAATCTATAAATATGAATGAATATTTATAAATAATAATATTTAAATTATTAAATATGAAAATATTTAATATTTTAGCAATATTTATTAAATTTTATTTTAATAATACTTTAAGGTATCCAATGCTCTTAGAAAAAGACTTTAGAGTACCTAGCGTTGAAAAAAAAAGAGTTTAGGAGTAAATTAACACTAAATAATATAATTAAAGTTTCACCTATTACTACACATGAGCCTCACGCACATGCCATATTTGTAAAAAAGGGTAAAATTAACAACCTCCTAATAGAAGGGCTTTTTTAGACCTCAAAAATATATTTTAGGAGGAAAATTTTTCTATTTAAGAATATAAAATATCCAACACTATAAGGATAATATTAAACTTTAACCTTAAATTATAAAAAGTAACCTTATTTTTTTTATTGTTGGCTTTGACATCCTTCTTTTCTCTCTTCTCCTAATTAACTATGCCAATCAAAGGTTTGTCTTTGAAAGTTGTTGAGATTTACCACATTCAACTAATTCCTCTAATTTCATGAATATTATTAATAATTGAACCTTGCAAAACTAAGAATATAATCATTTTTCAACAATAATCCGCAAATGAATAAAATTCAATCCAACTTATAAGATAGAGTGAAGTTGTGATACTACATAAAATAAAAGTTCCGACCTGCCGGATTCGAACCAGCGACCTAAGGATGACAGCTAGGATAAGCCCACTACAGTCCTCCGCTCTACCAACTGAGCTAAGGTCGGGAGATGACATTGCTGTCGCTGACTTATTATTACCTAATTCTTTTGTTAAAAAAAACTCTTTATTTAATAGATTATTTTACTCTAAAATAAATAAAAAATAATTTATTCAATAATAATATTTATAAAATAAATATAATGATTACATCTAAAAAGATTAAAAATATTTTATATTTTATAATATTTAATTTTTTAAAAAATATATTATATTTTTTAATAGACGAAGCATGTAACATCCATCTCACTCATCTATTTGTAGTTTTTGTTTTGGCCAGACATTTGTTTGTAGTTTGACAGAAGAATTCATAATTAACAAATGACCCCCGGAAATAAAAGGTGTCCGCAGATGAAATGCATAAATGAATACATACGAATTCTAAAACTAAATAAAATTATATGTTTTCTTAACATATTTCTTATTTTTCGCATTGCACTCCATTTCAAACAGTAGCGTGTGTCGCTAAAGTTTGGGATCCACTGATGAGCACGACGCGCTCATCATCCACACGACTGATTCTGACCTTTTATTTTATTTTAAAATAATCTCTATTACTAATTTTAAATTAATTTTTAAATATTTTATTTGTAAAAATAAAAATTATAATAATTTTTATTATTAAATGTAGACTGCCTTCAATGCTCATTAGATGATGAGTACTATAGTACACATCACTCCTAATAGAATTTAGATAATTTAGATTTAAATTTTTATTTTTATTTTATATTTATCAAAATACAAATTTATAAAAAAGATTAAATTTTTAATAAATCCATTGATCATTAATCTTATAATACATATTTAATTTGAACATTTTAATTTAATATAAATTTTTTATAGCTTTTATAAATTGATTATCCAAATATATTCTGGATAGTACATATATAATATAAACAATCTAATTTAATATTAATTTTTTTATAATTTTTACAAATTGGCTATCTTTATATATTTTTAATATTTCAAATTTAATAATATTTTTATCTTTTTTTAATTTTTATTTTCAAAAATATAATATTTAAGATATTTAAAAATTAATTAAAAATAAATGGCAGAAATTATTTTAAAATAAAATAAAGGGTCAAGATCATCCATGTAGGTGATGAG